GCATCCAAATCGGAAAAGAGGAAACAAAATTGTCAGTTTGCAGATGACATGATAGTGTATATGGAAAATGATATAGACTCTATCCAAAAATTGCTCGACCTAATAAATGGATTTGGCAAAATAGCAGGATACAAAGTCAATATCCAGAAATCAAAGGCATTTTTGTATACTAACAATGAAACAGCAGAAGCACAAATCAAGAAAAACATCCCATTGGATATAGCAAAAAGAAAAATAAAATACCTAGGAATAAACCTAACCAAGGAGGTAAAAGACCTTTATGCAGAAAACTACACCACACTGAAGAAAGAAATCAAGAAAGACACAAACAAATGGAAACATATACCATGTTCATGTATTGGAAGAATTAACATCATCAAAATGTCCATACTACCCAAAGCAATTTACAGATTCAATGCAATACCTACTAAAGTACCAAAGGCATACTTCACAGACATGGAACAAACACTTCAAAAATTTATATGGAACCATAAACAACCCCGAATAGCAGCTGCAATTTAGAGAAAGAAGAACCGAGTAGGAAGGATCACAATACCTGATACCAAACTGTATTACAAGGCCACTGTAATCAAAACAGCCTGGTACTGGCATAAAAACAGGCATATAGACCAGTGGAACAGAACAGAGAGCCCAGAAATAAACCCACATCTCTACAGTCAATTAATATTGGAAAAGGGGGCAGGAACATGAAATGGAGTAAAAATAGCCTCTTCAACAAATGGTGTTGGGAGAACTGGACAGCTACATGAAAAAAAATGAAACTTGAGCACAAACTTACACCATACACTAAAATAAATTCAAGGTGGATAAAAGACTTAAATATTAAGCTGTGACACCATTAAAGTACTAGAGGAGAACATAGGCAGGAAAATCTCAGATATTTCACGCAGCAACATTGTTACAGATAATGCCCCCTAGAGCAAGGGACATAAAGGAAAGAATAAACAAATGGGATCTTATCAAAATTAAAAGCTTTTGCTTGGCTGAAGAAAACAGTATTAAAATAAAAAGAGAACCAACTATATGGAAAAACATAGTTGCCAATGATACTTCAGACAAGGATTCAATCTCCAAAATACACAAAGAACTTAACACGACTGCACTCTAAGATCACAAGCAACCCAATTAAAAAGTGGACAAAGGACTTAAACAGACATTTTTCCAAGGAGGACATAAAGAGGGTCCAGAGACACATGAAAAGATGCTCAATATTGCTAGCTATCCGAGAGATGCAAATTAAAACCACAATGAGATACCACTTTACACCAGTCAGAATGGCCTTCATAAACAAAGCAACAAACAACAAGTGTTAGGTTGTGGGGAAAAGGGGACCCTAGTCCATTGTTGGTGGGATTGCAGACTGGTACAACCATTATGGAAAACAGTATGGAACTTTCTCAGAAAAATTAAAATCGACCTGCCTTTTGACACAGCAGTTCCAGTGCTAGGATTGTATCCTAAGAACCCTAAAATACCAATCCAGAAGAACCCAATGTTCATAGCACAATTTATGAAAGCCAAGAGTTGGAAGCAACCCTAGGTGCCCATCAGTAAATGAATGGATCCAAATACTATGCTACATATGAACATTATGTAGCATAGTATGAACATATGTAGTATGAACATATGAACACATGAACATTAATTCTGATGTATAATTTTAATCCTGTTTCTTTGGGTTTATTGAACTTCTTGAGTTTGTGGGTTTCTGGCTTTCATCAAATTTGAAAATATTCAACCATGTTTTCCTTCAAATATTTTTTCTATCCCCATTCTTGTCTTTCAGAATCTCCAAGTACATATACATTGTTAGGAAGCCTAACGCCCCATAGTTCACTGATACTCCTTTTACTTTTAATTTTAGACAGTTTCTATTGCTGTATCTTCAAGTTCATTAATATTCTGCCATTAATTCCTTCTCAACTTATCTCTTTTGAAAAAATAGATTGTTTCTACTTTTTGTATATGAGGAACACTGTTTTTAACACTCAATCTGTTCATTCTAACATCTGTGTCTAATACCAATATCCATATCTCAATAACTGATTCTTTTTCCTGCTATAGGCCATTTTTATTGCTTCTTTGAATGCCTAGTAATATTTGATTAAATGCGAGATATTGCGAATTTTACTCTTTTGGCTGGTGAATATTTTTATAGTCCTATAAGTAATGTTGAACTTCTTCCTGAAACACAGTTTGATTCTTTAGGTCTTACTTTTAAAATTAGTTTGTTGGAATCAGAGCAGCTTTTAGTACAGTTTTTTGTTCCATATTACTAAGGCAAGACCTTTTTGAGGACTTTACCCAGTCCCTCTGAATTATGAGGTTTTCCAGTGTGTCTGGGCATAGGCCCAATTCAAGGTCCTGAGTCAGTGTGAGGTACTATTCCATCTAATATGTTCAGATGGTTTTTCTCCCTGCCTTTGGTAGTCATGCCATATGCATGCACTTATCAGTACTCTTTGCAGATCTCTGGGTTTTTTTTTTCTTTTCATCTCTCTCCTTTCTTGTATTCTGACCTATGAACTGTAGCCTTGGTGTCTTTAGAAGTCTTAGCTCCCTCTGTTCAACTCAAGGAGTCTGCCAAGCTTCACATGGGTTCTCCTGTTCTGCTCCATGGCCTAGAAACTATCAAGGCAGTGACCTGGGGCAATCACAGGTCTCACCTTACTTGTTTCCCATCTCTCAGAGATCACTGTCAATGTTCATTGTCTTGAAAATAGTTGTTTTGTATATTTTTGTGTTTTTATTTTGGGTTGTATCAGGTGGGAGGGTAAATTAGGTTCCTGTCATTCCACTTGATTGCAAGTAGGAATCTTCAAGTTACATTTTTTAAAATATATTTAATGCCACTATTATTTTAGGAAAAATAGTTACATTTTAACCATTCATGAGTAAGCCAATTCCTAAACATGCTTGCTCTATATAAATAAGTTTATGAAGATCTGAAATGGGGCAAAGGGAGTGGAGTCCATAGAAAATGGAAGTGACTAAAAGTTCTCTTCTTTCCCAGAAGCTTTGATTGGCTCTTTGGTAGTTTGTTGTTCTATTCCTTATCAGTCAAATAAGGTTTCTTTAGAAATAGATTCTTTCTTTGGAGATAGATTCTTTAAATGAGTTATATGAATATGCCACTCAACTAGTATGGAGGATGTTATAAATAAAATTGTCATGGTCTTTATGTTTTAAACTATATGATTAAAATCATGTCAGCAAAATATTACAGAGGAAACATCATGAAGAGATTTACCTCATGATATATTAAAATAAAATTTAAAGCTATAATTACAATTATGAAGTAACTAATGTTAATGTAGACATAAATGTGGATCAAAATAGAATGTCCATTGAGAGACTTAAAGGAATTATTTTAATTATGGGCCATGTAGTAGATGGTGTTGGTACAACTGGATAGAGAGCTCACTGAAATAAAATTAAAGTTTGATCTTCTCCTTATAGTATACCCGCATATATTCCAGATAGGTTAAAGATATAATCTAAAGGAATTAGAAGAAAATATAATCTTGAGAAAGAGAAGGCCTTTTCAAGTATGAAACAGGGTTCATATTCTTACTGTATAAAGACTCCTCATAAAGTAGTAAGAGAAAGGTAAATACTCCCTCCCCCCTTGAAAAATGGGCAGAGAATAAGGTTGGGTAATCACAATTAGGGGCAAATATATAAATATTCTGGAAATATTTATTTTTTAAATGTTCTATTTCATAATGATGATAAAATAACACTAGTAATTGTAGCTATATTATGTGTAGTAATAATGTCTAAATATGTTAAGAGCTTTCAACAGATTAGCTAATTTAATCCTTTGAAAGGTAAGTATATATGTTACCATTTTATTAATGTGACAACTGAGACAGGACATGAAGAACTTGCCCAAGGCAACAAAATTATCAAGTAGTTGATTGAACCAAAGTTATAACTTGATGCGGACACCGGCCTGCATTGTCCATGGCGTTGTGACTGAGACGAGACAAATTCACACAGACTACAAAGTCCTGTGGAGAAAAAGGGACAGTACGGCCACTCTCTCAAGGGGAGAGTGCCTCAGCCACTCTCTGAAAAGGAGAGCACCCCTCACTTGCCTTGACAAGCTTTTATTGCTTTTCTGGGCATATGCATTGAGGATGATCCTCATTTACTATGCACAGGTTTGCTTTAGGTGGTTACCTTTTACAGAAAGCAAAGGAGAGGATGTTGCCAATTACATCAGTAAGAAGGATATTTGTAAGCCCTGGCTGTTGTAGCTTAGTGGATTGAGCTCGAGCCTGGGAACTAAAGGATCGCAGTTCAATTCCCAGTCAGGGCACATGCCTGGGTTGCAGGCCAGTTCCCAGCAGAGGCACACAAGAGGCAACCATATATTGATATTCCTCTCCTTCTCTCTTTCCCTTCCCCTCTAAAGATAAATAAATAAAATCTTTTTAAAAAAGAAGGATATTTGTAAATGTAAAGGGAAAAGTGGTTGAACTGGTTACAGTCGTCCTTGGAGGGTTCAGCATAGATTTTAGGAAATTACTTTAAAGATATGCAGTAAACATTTGCTGCCTGAGTGTGAGGGAGTTCTAGCAAAAAGCAAGTCTCAAAGTGGCCTTGGTACAATGCAGGCCTGATTTCCCACAGGAGAACCTATCTGTGAGTGTGTGTCCTGTGTACCAGACCTCGCTTTCCAGTGTCCTTTTGGAGTGGGAGCTGGGCCCGTGCAATGCAGAATGATCTCTTATAATGACTCAGACCGTAGAGTTCTGTTCCTCATTACTTCTCAAATAAATAAATTAAAATAACCTAGAACCCGACTGCACTTTACAGAGAAACTGATAATTTGCTCTAAATTACCCAGCTCCTAAGCAATAGAATTGAGTTAAAATTTTTAGAAATACAAATCATAAATAAAAGAAAGAAACTCAGGGTAAATTAGAACAAAACAAATATCTTACTTTTACAAATTCATCATTTCTTTTCAGAATGTCTGAAAGATGCTTCAAAGAAGATGAAAACTGGGCTTATGTTTGTAAAGTTAGTTAACCCATGTTCAGGTAAGCTCTTTTTCCACTCCTCTTTCTTCCCTTCTGATAATAGTAACTTGAACATTTTTTGAACACTGTGACTAATTTGCCTTTGTATGTTTATTCTAACTAAATAGCTTCCAAAATGGAGACAAACTCATAGATGGAGAACAGGATGACCTGTGGTGGTGGGAGGAGGGAGATTAGGGGGTGGAAGGATTGAGCAAAAAGGAAAAAGGACTCATGGACATGGACAACAGTGTGGTGATTGCTGGGGGAGGGGGTATAAAGGGACTAAAAAGTAATGTAAAAAATACAATAAAGATCAAACAAAAATAAATAAATATAAAATGGTATTAAAAGGTGATAAAAGTAAGCTAATGACATTCCTAGTCATCTCAAGTGATTCACTCAACCTAAACATTTTTAATTTATTCTTATTTTAATCCAAAGACCTGTTCATTCATCAGAAATGATGGCTAAACAAAGTAGCATGTTTGATTTCTCTCTGAAGACATTAATTTTCTTTGGCTTACTTAAGCCAACTTTTCTTAGAGTAGTTAGTCTCCTATAAAGTAATATACACAATCACAGGGGTGGGGTGGGGAAAGAAGGCTTTCATGTGGAAGGCTTTTACGTGGCATGCCAAGATTATGAGCAGTTTCATTTTTAGCTGAAGGTAAAAAAATACACCAGAAGGTATATTTTTCCTTGTCAAGAGATGAATTTTTTGGTATTAAAAGCATTGAATATTAAAGATATATTTTACCAGATGTAATTTTATTTTAACTTTATATTCAGTGTATTCTGTTTTGTCTTCTAATTTTTAGCTACAGTGATTAAAATATACTATAAATATGTAGTAATATTAATGATATTTATTTTAATATGGCATTGTTCTTTAATGGACTTATTTTATAAGATTTATGTTTAAAGTTTATTGTCAATTTTTTAAGGTTTTGAATAGATCCGTAGAAAATTATAGCATTCTTCTGGTGACTGTAATGCTGAATAGTAAAAGCAAGGGGAAGCCAGTAGGTAGTGCCTTCTTGTCGTTATTGTTGGAAAAACATAAGTAGAAGTAGCAAAAGAAAAAAGTTTTAGCTTTTTCTAGTTTTTTTTCTCAAAATAAAATTGAATATAATTTGTCTACTATATTATTTGGAGCTCTTACTAATACATAAGACTAAGTTCAGGTGAGAGTTACATCTTCGAGACAAGTTTTAGGTAGCAGCAAAGGTTATAAAGCATTTAACAAAAAGTAAAAGTACAGAAATTTCAGGCTTCTTGAAAAATTTTCTTTAATCTAAATGTCCATAGGCAACAGAGGTTTGAACAAATGTTTTTGTATTTGCTACATTAACTACGAAGAAAATAAAGACTAACATTTGCTGAGCATTTACTCTTTGCTAAATACTATTTTAAGAACTTTGCATGTATTCTCTTTTTAATCTTTCTAAACACCCTGTGAAGTAGGTTCACTATTGCTCCCATTTTACAGATATGAAAACAGGTGCAGAAAGGTTTACATAATTTTCCCAATGGCACAAGCCTACCATGTGGTAGAGATAGATTCAAAGTCCTTGATTTCTCTATGGTTAGAAAAGACATTTTATGCATTAGAGGGTCCTTTCCTTTTTCACTCAGAGCTGGCCTTCAGGGTCTGCATGCTGTTTCTGTCTTGGTCCCTGTGTGTGGGTAGCCACACACTATCATGGAATTTGGGATCACAATGCCAACTCAGTTCATCTGGCTGAACCATTAGGTTTGGATACTTTAAGAATGTGTTTTCCTTCCTGATCTGATAGAGGATTCAGTAAGAGGCTTAGAAACAGTTAAGATAAATAATTTGCCTTCTATTATTTATAGAACTGAAAAACAAGCATCTGTATGTAATAGCTATAAGCTTTCCTTGGAGTCAGTTTGTATAGAATATACATCTGTGTATGTTTATGTTTGTTTTAGGAACATTGCCCAGAAATATTGGATAGTCTTCGATTTTTTGTGTGTGAAAACTTACAAATAAAAAACAGATTTGTCTTTAACAGGGGAAGGAGCCCTCTACTTGTTCAATATGTGTCTACAGCAGTTGTTTGAAATAAAAATTTTCAAGGAAAAACACCATTCATGGTTTATAAATCAATCAGTTCAATCAGGTAAGTGACTAGTGTACACATTTCCATTAACTGAACAACATACTCTAGCACTAGCTTTTCTATCCTTCACAGGCATACCAGTCTCTTCTCCTGGTTTAGAGTCTGGTCAGTGTATTTTTCTTCCTTGGAATCACTGCAGGGTTTAGTCAAGAAGACAGGAAAGATAATTTGAGCAAGTTTATATCAATACTTAATGTATCTTAAATGGTAAGAAAATTTTAACTAATGACTAAACATTTAACATTCTTTTCAGAAGGCAGATGATCTTTGTACCATGGAGTGCACATTGTCTTCACTAGAAATTCTTCACTCTTCTGTTAGCCACATTTGAGGATTTTCAAGTTTTTAACATCTTATTTCCTTGAAAATAGAGACTGATGTAGTTTCTAAAATAGAATAGAATATGACGAAGATTTTTTAATGATTTGTTTTATAAATTAATGCTGCTACCCTCTCCCAAACTCATACACACACCCCAACACCAAAGTTCTGTTTCTTTTAATGTTCCTTTAATTTAGAGTAGTTTTGACTCAGAAGGAAAAAGGATATACTGCATGTTTTTTTTTGATGGATTTGAGAGTGAGAGTATTGTGGGTGAGGGTAGGATGTCATGGCATATTTGAGGCACTCTGCATTCCCTCTGACTATTCTCTTTCCAGAGAGTGCTGTTCTTCTTTTGACTGTGCATATGGCTACTTTGTCCTGAGGTATGAAGGTCACTTTGCCTTTCTTCTAAGACATTCCAGAAGAAGGTTTTTATGCTAGTGATAAATTTTATATACATATGTGTATGAGAAGAATTAAAGTAGTATTTATTTGCCAAAGTTCAATGATAGTCTAGGTATAGTATGTTATTCCCTTGCTACCATACTTGTTCATTTGGCAGTACATAAGAGTTCTAACTTCTAATGTAACATATACACTTGTGGCTGAGTCTAGCTAGAAGAACATGGTAATATCCAGGTGGAACTGGAAAATATTGATAATTTCTTCTGGACTGGACTGGTTTACCTGCTTATTTTTTTTTTTTTTTTAAGTAGAGTAGTTTTAGGTTCATAGCAAAGGTACCTGCTGTTTTCATTATTATCTTTTTGTAAAATTTAAAATTATAGCTGTTTTTAAGAATGATCACCAGGATACTGTTTTCAAACCTAGAAACCTATTCCTAATTTCTGAATGTAATACATGCCTTATATAAAATAAACTTAGAGAACCCGACAGGTTGTTTTTATAAACTTCTCTTCTACTTGAAAATACAAGTCACCCTAGTGTGTGTGGTTCAGTTGGTTGGAGCATTGTCCCATAACTGAAAGGTTGCAGTTTCAATTATTTGTCAAGGCACATACATAGGGTGTGGGTTCTATCCCTGGACCAGACATGTACTAGAGGCAACTGATCAAGGGTTCTTTTTCTCTCACACATTGATGTTTCTCTCTTTCTTCCTCTCTCCTTCTCTCTCTAAAACCAATGAAAAAAATGTCCTTAGATGAGGATTTAAAAAAAAGTCTAATATCATAATATGAAATTCCTTGATTTTTTCTTAGTATGAAATGTATTCATATATATAATTTTGGGTTAGAATTTCTTGGATATATAAGTAGGTTGGTCTATTAGAGAATAAAAGTAAATAAATGTATTTCCTGAAATAAAAATAATAAATATGGAGATAAATTAATTGTATATTATTTCATTTTGATGGATTTCCTCTTCTAATTCATTTTTGTAGAAGAGGAAGTCTGGAAGAGGATACTAGGAGGGAAGTGTGAAAGAAAAGGGGGGGAGTAGTTGGGCTAGTTTGTTTGATTTTCCTTTTTCCTTTTAGCCTGGAGAGCACAATTAATCTTACTGCAGAGTTTCCAGTTTCTTATGTTCACTTATTAGACACCTGTCCTCTTGCATTTTTCTTTGGGGTAGGGTCTGGGGTGAGTAACAACCTTCTGAACTTTGAGTCATTAGTTAAAGTCAAATCTCTGAACCCACAGACCACAGAAGGAACTATGTACAGAGAAAATTCTATTGCTTTCTGATAGCTTTGTCCTCAAAAGCACAGGAAATTGCATTTTATTGTAATTTTATAGATAGGCTTATATAGGTTTCCTGTATTCACGTGGTTAATATTCTGTCTATATTTCCCCTAGTCCTTGTCTTTATGGAGCAATGGGGAAAACCTCTGTTAAAAATTATTTCAAAAGAGAAATGAAGAGTTAAGGATTGATTTCAGTGTCTTGAGTCTCATCTACACACAGAGATTTGAAGCTCTTTGGAATAAAATCTTATGGACCACATTCTACCTTTTGAAAGAATCACATAGAATCTTGGGCCTGTGTAAGGAGAACTTCTATATTTGAAAATTCACATACACTTTTCAATTAATTGTTTCTACATTGGGATTAAGATGAAATGACTGAGTTGTCTTTTCAGACATTAATTTCCTTTGTTCTATTTTTAATCTATAGGAGGTCTTCTCTACTTTGCCACACCCATGGACCCTTTATTTCTGCTCCTCCACTACTTTATAAAGGCTGACAAAGAGGTGAGTTTCCATCCTGGCTGGTGTGGCTCAGTTGGTTGGAGCATTGTCCCCATACACCAAAAAGTTAATGGGTTCAGTTTCCAGCCAGGAAATATACTTAGGTTGCAGGGAATATACTTAGGAATATACTTCTATCCCCAGTTGGGGTGCATATGGAAGACAGTTAGTAAATGTTTCTCTCTCACATTGATGTTTTTCTCTATCTCAAATCAATAAATACATTTTTTAAAATGTTTTTAAAAGGGGTGAGTTTCCTAGTTTGGGATAATAACAATTAGGAACCAGGATGTGTTGTTTTTTGCTTAATCTCCTCTCTCTTCTTTCAGTGATCCAGATGTAGATTCCCCACAATTCAGATTTAAAATTGGTTGGTATAGACATATGTGTCAGATGTCCTGATATGTATTAGTGAGACCTGAGAACCAGTACCTGCATCTTGCACTATCTTACTCATGATGTCTGAAAATTACTTAATCCTCTATGTTGTCTATGTTTGACACAGCCTTGCAATGCAAAATTTTATCATTAAGTACTCATTTGTTTTGAAATGTAATACAGATTTTAAGAAATTGATCTCAAGTTTTAAGAGAATGAAGAAGGTAATGTTTTTCTTATTTGAGAGAGACTGTAAAATAAGTAAACTGGGGGCACATCTAGTAAAAAGCTCGTTAATGAGGAAGCTCAAGACTTACGGAACTCCAGCTAGATAAAATTTTCCTTTGTAAGATAAAAGCAGATTTTATTAATAGTAATAATTTCAGCCAGAGGTTCTGAAACATTTTGGTCTCAGGATGCCTTTACACTCCCAAAATTATTAAGGACCCCAAAGAGGTTTTATTTACCACATTAGAAGTTAAAACTGAGAAATTTAGAAAATAATTTTATTAATTTATTTTAAAATAAATGGGCTAGGATGGGAGTATAAGACAGAAAACTGTACTTGAACAATAATTAAATAAATTTTAAAAAATTAAACCAAAAAAATAAAAATAATAAGCACAGTACCTACTAACATAAATAATACATTTTCAATGAAACAGTAAAATTCAGTGATGAGTATGGCATTGTTTTACATTTTTTCAAGTCTGTTTGATGTGTGGCTTAACAGTGACAACTGGCTTCTCATATCTGCTTCTGTATTCCGTTTCCATATACTGTTTTGGTGGAAATGTATGAAGAACATGCAGCCTTTCACAGATACATACTCAAAAAAGGGAGCAATAGTATCAGATAATTGTGGACATTATTCTTTGACAATATTTTAAAAATCAACAAGGCATAGTTTCTTAAAATTCATTTGCACTTTAGAATATGAAACCCTGTTAATGAACCCTCCATTCTCTGCTACATTAAAATCTATTGCTCTGTCTCATAGTGAGAATGGATCTTTTACCCATGTACACTTTGGGAAAGTGTTGTTTTACTGAATTATGCTGATTTTCTAAATGTTGACACATCTCATTAAATACATACACACACTGACCTTTATTGATATCTCTTCTTTAAGTATTCAGAAGCTTTCATAATGGCATAAATAAATTTTCTACTATTTTAATTTTTGCTTGAAAGTTAAAATTTTATTATTGGCTACAAGTACTGTCAGTCTTTCCCTCATAGTGGCTTTACTTCATTTATGTTCTGCCACATATCCATGTCTGAATCACTGAAGTTAACAGGTTTTTTTTTTCCAGGTAAAAATGGCATCTATGAAAACAATAGCTAGTTCAGCTTATAACACAACATAAATGTTTTCCTTGAGACAGTCCTGCACCTTCACAGGTGGCAGAAGCACTTTAGCAACACTACTTTTATCGCATAGAGTATTTAAAAGACTAGCATTCAAGACTCAAGATTTAAATAAAAATCATTGCTGCTAGTTTTGGTCAAGCATATCCATAAATGAAATGGTGACGTGGACCCCAACTCATGGGGTCCACATTGTAGATGAGATACGAGATAAATTCACACAGACTACATCTGGTGGAAGAAAAGCGATGGCACGGCTACTCTCTTGAGAGGAGAGGGCCTTGACCCTTGCCTTGACAGACTTTTATTGCTTTTCTGGGCACATTACATGATGGTCCTCATTTATTATGCACAGGTTCACTTTAGGTAGTTACCTCTTATAGAAAACAAAGGAGAGGATGCCGCTAATCACATCACAGAAGAAGGATATTTGCAAATGCAAAGGGAAAATTGGTTGAACTGGTTATACTCATTTTTGGAAAGTTTAGCATGGATTTTAGGAAGTTAATTTAAAGATATGCAGTAAATGTTTACTGCCTCAATTCAGGGTGAGGGGGTTTTAGCAAAAGCAAATCTCATAGCAGTCTAAGTACAATGCAGGCCTGATTCCCCGTGGGAGACCCTGTCTGTGAGCGTGGGTCCTGTGCATCTACAAGAGGGAGCTGTCATCTACAGTGGGCCCACGCCACACAGAATGATCTCTTATAAAATGGGCCAGTTTTTTTAACTGTGCATGGTGGTGAAGAATTCAGTGACTACCAGGACAGTTTGTTGTCACCATCCTTACCAATGGATGCTGATGAGCCAGTGGTTCTACCCACCTTTGCTTTGGAATCATTAGTGCAGATGTCAACATGTTAGAAATACAAATATCTTAGCATTATTATGAAAATAGATTTGAGCTTGTAGGCCCTACAAGGGTATTGAGGACTCCCATGGATCTACAAACCACAGTTTAAAAAACCTTTGAACAAATTTAAGGAATAAGTGTTATTTAAACTGCTTAGAAGAATCTGTTATTTTGCATTCAATATTTACATATAATTTAAATGCTACTTTGTCTCATTTCATTTACTCCTTATACCAAACTGCCAAAACATCTATTTTGTGGGAATGTTAATTGAGCTTGCTATAAATCCTGAAAGTAATAAAAGTGACTTAAAACTTTTAAGTCATGCTTTCTCCCGATGCAGCTTAGCTTCTTTTATTTTCTTCCTTTTCTATATTCTCTGTCCTTTTGTATGGATTCATGAACTTTTATTCCTTAGTTTAATCATGTTTCCCATTATCTATAAGCTACCTTGGGAGACAATGTAATTAGAGCATACCAGCAATGAGGCTAGTAACCCATGGGTGTCTAATGAATATAACTGGTTGTAGTCACCACCAGGAAGGGCTTAGCAGTATTCGGCAACAAGGTTGAAAACTTCAGTTGGCTCCCATTTGTTTTCCAGAATACATTAACAGAGAGAAAGCCAACAACCAGCATTGATGAACATTTAAAGCCTCCATCACCCTACTTTGGAAGTGTTTCCCTATTTTGCATTAAGACAATAACTGGTGAATTAACCCTCAGTCTGACTTTCTGGGAATCGCTGGGGATACTAAAGCTCATTCATGTTCACAGATACAGAATGAAACAGAAATCAAGATGGTAATTGATTTTCATTGTAAACCATCTTTCTCTTCTCAGATATTAAAAATGCCCTTTGAAGTAACCAGCGAGATTTTATATATTTCCTTCCCTACATTTTAGACATTATCTTTTTCTATTTAGTTAAAAAGTATATTCGTGCACACCTTTAAAATGTTGACATATTCTTTTTTAATTAGAATGTTATTTAATTATACATTTTAACATAAAAAGAAATAATTTTCTATTTTAGCTACTCCAACTGTTATTAACTAGATTCAAAACAAGTTGTTTATTATGTTTCCTTTTTATGCATTATGGTAAAGAAAACAACAATGAAATATAAATTATGAAATTATATTACTATGATTGTGTGATAGTCCATTATATATGTAGAATATTGTTTTAAAGTAGTTAAATATTTAAAATTTAGTTCATCATGGTAGAATATAGATTAAGGTAGAAATCTAAAATAATAAGACTTGGGAAATCTGTGAATTATTTTTACTATGTGAAGAAAAAAGAGAACATTTACATTGAGTAATTTCTTGCCACTTGTAAATCTAACAGACAGTATAGCAAGTTGTCACACATGCTGCTGAATGAATGATAAGATTTTACCCTTAAAACAAAGAAGCTGTATTTGCACAAAGAAAACTGATCAGACACAAGTTTTCTGTCTTCAAATGGAATTGTCACTAACAGAAAAGTACAGTGATCTAGAAGTGGGACATGGACAAAACCATATACCTTTGCAAATTCAGGTATTTTCACACCACTAGTAAAGTTAAGAAAAAGTAAACCTAACTGAGAAAAAGAATGTTCTGAATTTCTTTGTTCTGTACTTCTGGCCCATTGGCCATGAGGCATGTACATTTATCTATGTCAGCATGATTTAATGTATCTGCCACTTCATTGTCCTTATCCCTATAACTATCTTTTATTTTAAATTTGGAAGCATTGTTAGCTCTGACAGGAGTAGATTCACTTTTGGAATTTGTTTCTTGTGGTGTTTGAACCCTGGAAGATTGAGGATGGGAGAGGAGATGTACACTGTGGGCTTGATTAGGCTTATCCCTAGGTGACAGTCAGGACTCCTCTGACCTCAGCTGGTTTGTTTTCAAATTAAATGGGATGGATCAGCCCCAAGCATTCTCAACCATCTTTGAAAGTTTCTGTAACTTCCAGTGCTTTCCCAGAATTTTGCTGCCTTATTTTACCCCATATCTGTACTCCTGAGGTTGGAATCCTTTCAAGGGAGCTGAGAGTCAGTTCTGGAGCTTATCCCAGTTTAGGGTGGAACAGGTAGCTTAGAACTTAGTTAAAAAGTACTGCTATGAGGTAATGTATCTTTCTTTCTATTTTTTAAAATATGTCTGTTGACTGGCATACTTGCTTTCTGACTGACTGAAGTGTTTTTTCAGGGAAAGTTTCAGCCTCTAGATCAAGTTGTGGTGGATGATATGTTTCCGAATTGCGTCTTGTTGCTGAAACTTCCTGAACTTGAGAAGTTACTTCAACACGTGACAGAGGAAAAAGGTAGTATACAGTATTTGAAATGAGGCTAATGGCTGCTGGAAAGGCTGAGCATCTCTCTGAGAATGCAGCTGCTTAAAGACCACTGAATGTCATGCTTATTCTATATAGGTCATAGGGGAAACTGTCGTTCAGATTTTGTTTCCACTTGCCAATTCTGGTCCTCTGTTGCTTTGAGATGTTCAATCTTTGACATTACAAGTAGTAAAATGTGGTATCCTGTCTCCTACAGGGCCAGGGTTCGTTCACAAGGCTTTAGTCTCACTTCTTCTTTGAATTAGTCCATTACTTTAACTGCTTTCTGCCTCAGATTTCTCATTTGTAAGATTACATAAAACCTATATCTTTATTGTTTCAAGAAGCACTTACTGAGTATTTACTAAGAAACATATTTTGAGCACTGGTACTAGGCTTTGGCAGTACTTATATAAATAAGTCATTATTCTTTCTCTCACTTAACTTTGAGTCTGATAGGAGCAAATGACAAGTAGGACAAACAAACAATAGGGACTAATAGAAATGAACTCAGGGTTTTCTGGGGATGCACAGGACAAGTTTATAACCTGGTCTAGGTTGAGTGGAAGTGTGAGTCAGTCAGTATTATTTTGCTCTCTGAGTCCATTCCTGAAGCAGATACCAGAGTAGCAACATCACAGAAGCATGGGTGTATGGAAAAGTTTGTTACATTTAAGAAATTTAAGGAGTTAGTGTGGCCCAAACATAGGATACCATGGATGGATTTAGGTACGTAAGCAAGAAACAGGGCAAGAATGCTGGGCAAGAATGCTAGGCAAGGGTTCAAATGGTAAAGGGCTTTTATATTTGTCTATACTTCACTTAATGGTACTGGAATATCAGCAAAGATTTAAGCCGAAAAGTCAGTGGTGTAGAGTATGTTGGAGAAACTGAGGCCAGATTCCCAGAGGCTGTTGCAGTGGTCTGAGCAGGAGATGATGGTAACCTGGCCTTAGAATATGGAACTAAAAAATAGTAGCAATTTGGAGCTAGAACTAATCTTATTTAGTGATTGGATGGTAATGGAGGAGAAGAGTCACAGATGACTTCTGGGTTTGTGCCTTGAGCAACAGGATGTGTAGTGGTAGCAACCCGGAGATAGGAAACATGGGTGGGAGGAGCCGGCTGGAGTAATAACAAAGGGATGGATTTTAGATATTATTTATTTGAACTTTGAGAGAAGGAAGTGAGACAGTATGTGTGATTGTATTTTGATCAGTTAGAAGCTCTAAATACCATCCGTGTCAAAAAATCATCCAAGTAGTTTCTAGGTTAAAATGGGAACAGTGGTAGAACTAAAACATAGGCTGATAAGTTGTGTTTTATTCAGGGTTACACACAGTTTGGCCAACCATGACAGTTCTGGGACCAAGCAAGTAGCAATTCCAAGAAATGTAAGCTTACAGTGGGAAAGGGGAGAACCTCATTGATTGCATTTTGTATTCAAGGGGTCTACTATATTCACACTTGGCCAGACTTACTACTCCATTTTGTATCTGAGGGGTTTGTGGTGCCAAGGTTTTATCAAAGCAGTCCATTAAAGACATTTCCTGATGCTGAGCTTGGCAGAAGTAAGTAATCATTTTTTGGTGACAAATGAGTGAGTACTTCATAACCATTTCTGAATGCTAAAGTGATGAGGAATAATTATAATTCATTTTAATATGTCAAGTTAGCACAGTTGAAAATGCAATTAACTCCTATTTTCAAAATTTTTACATTAGCAATATAAGAGCAGTTAAACACAAACCCAGGGGCCCAGATTCAGAAAGGGTGTTGATGCATTGGCATTTCTTAGCTTACGGCAACTGTTTCAAAGCTAGAGCTTCCCCCTATCTCATTTCTTCCTTCTTGCACACCAAATTCCTGACCTCTTACTGAATCATCTGAATTCCTGTCCTAATCTTTTGTACTTCTCAACATTGCCTAGCTTCTGAAGTTCTATACTAGAACTACATGCACTCTACTTAACCTTGTTTGGCTCTGTATAACTAGTTGTACATTTTAAAATCTTATGCATTTTCCTTGGAGCTTCATGAAGTCCTTATATATAGAACTGAAGCCCTTATATATAGAACATGTCAGTCCTTATATATAGAACTGACATAAAGGAAAATATTGTACATATTTGAGTTTTGGTTCAAGGGGTGAAGTGAATAATGTGGAATTGTGTGCATTTTGATAAAGAGGCTAATTTGAGAATGAGGTGTACAAGATTTCTTGTCTTGATATTGTGTTTAAATTTTCAGTTGTTTTAAGATTTACAGACAATAGTTCATTAGGGGAAGAATTTAATTATGAAGAAAACTGCCAAAACTTCTAGAGAATTGCATACATATTTTACTATGTGAAATTTAATCCAAATTACTTTGGCTTTGCCATTCAGTCATGGAAAAAGAAAGATGTTTTCTTTAGCAGTGCAGAAGCTTTTTATTTTGATGAAATCCCAACCTAATCAACAAAACAAACAAGCAAGCAAAATATAACCCGAGACATTAAAATTAAGAACAAACTGACAGCACCCAGATGGGAGGTGGGAGGGGATAATGAGAGGGCAAGGGGGAAGGGTTATCAGGAACATTTATAAAGGACACAAGGACAAAGCCATAGGGTGGGAGGTAGGAATGGCTGTGGTGGGGGTAAGTAATGGGGGAGAAATGGAGACAATCGTACTTGAACAACAATAAAAATAAATAAATAAAAAATTTGAAGCTGGAGTTTTTAGAAACCTGGTATGTAGGACTGATAATATATCTGCTTTGAAAATGAAGGTACATAAGCAGATAAAGCAACTTTTAAATTAAAAATATAAAGGTACAGAAAAACAAGAAAAAAACTACAAATATTATTTGTACCACCAACTTGAATAATAAAAAAATTTAATAAGTTGTCATATTTGCTTCATATCTTTTGGGAAAACAATTTCTTTATGGACAATTTGGCAGTCTGATCTCAGGATCTAATAGTCTGCAAGGAAAATTAAAAGCGTATTTACTATATGGTTTTGAACAAACCAAGCTTTTTAGTATCCTTGTCAGATGAAGAGTTTGAAGGGTTGAGAGTATGCTCTATATTCTGTTACAAATTATAATTACTGCAAAGTTCTGCAAAGTTCTTCTAACTCATAAAATAAAACTTTTATTCTCTTAGCTTCATGGTGTTGAGATTTCTGAATGACCTACATCGCAACATTAAGTGTTGCAGTTAATAGTATCTAGTATCTACAACAGACAGATGCTTCGGGAATTAAATGAAATAATATAAGTAAATTGATGCCTAGAGAGTTCTGGGCATATAGTAAATGCTCAATAAATCTAAGTATTGTTAAGACTTCCAGAGACTTCTGCCAAGATGGAGGCGTAGTTGGAAACACTGTGCCTTCTCAAACAACTAAGTTTAAAGACAACAAAGTTTTAGTAACAAAAAACGCAGCCAAAACATGGAAAATTGAACTGTAAGGAAGTCCCACAACAACGAACCCGTTCAGCTAGACCAGTAAAAGGAGCAGAGCCAGCAGAGGAGCAGGTTCAGGCAGGAAAGATCCCCTGACCCAGGCGCGGGCAGTGGTTGGCGGATCCCATGTGTGGGGTAGCAATGGGTGGACCCAGTGAGGGTACAAGGCAGCAGGCTGACTAAGGTCACACATTTACGCGCAGATACACAAGCGAAGGAGCGAGCAGTGAGACAGACTGCACGGGCCCCAGCAGCGGGAAGCAGCAGAGGGGACCACTATTGCTCCCTCTCTGACCCCGCCCCCACATACAGCATCACAAACTAGCGACCTGGGTGGCTCCACCCTGGTGAACACCCAAGGCTCCTCTCCTCATACATAACAGGTGCGAACAGACCAAAACATGGCTTAAGAAGAACTCAGAGCTGATAACTCTAAGCGAACAAGAAATTGCCAACCTGTCAGAGGTACAGTTCAAAACACTGGTGATCAGGATGCTCACAGAACTGGTTGATTTTAGGCACAAATTAGAGGAACATATGAAGGCTAAACTAATTGAAATGAAGGGAAATGCATGGAAAAGCAACAGTGATGGAAAGGAAACTGGGACTCAAATCAAGGGAGTGGACCAGAAGGAAGAAAAAAATGACCAAAGAGAAAAATACGAAGAAACAAGAATTCAAAAAAATGAAGACAGGCTTAGGAACCTCCAGGACATCTTTAAATGTTCCAGCATCTGAATTATAGGGGTACCAGAAGGGGAAGGGAAAGAGCAAGTGGAACACTTATTTGAACAAATAATAAAGGAGAACTTCCCCAATCTGGCAAAGAAAATAGACTTCCAGGAAATCCAGAAAGCTCAGAGTCCCAAAGAAGTTGGACCCAAGAAGGAACACACCAAGGCACATCATAATTACATTAGCCAAGATTTAAATGAAGGAGAGAATCCTAGAAGCAGCAAGAGATAAGGGGACAGTCACTTACAAAGGAGTTCCCATCAGACTGTCAGCTGATTTCTCAGAAGAAACCTTCCAGGCAAGAAGGGGCTGGAAAGAGGTATTCCAAGTCATGAAATCCAAAGACCTACAACCAAGATTGCTCTATCCAGCAAAGCTTTCATTTAGGATGGAAGGGCAGATAAAGTGCTTCTCAGATAAGACCAAATTCAAGGAGTTCATCATCACCAAGCCCTTATTATATGAAATGTTAAAGGGACTTATCTAAGAAAAAGAAGATAAAAAATATGAACAGTGAAAGGTCAACAAACTCACAGTTATTAAGAACCACACCTAAAACAAAAGCAAACTAAGAGGACAGCTAGATCAGGAGCAGAACCATAGAAATGAAGATCACATGGAGGGTTAGCAACACTGGAGTCGGAGGAGGAGAATGGGGAGAAGGTACAGAAAATAAGTAGCATAGATGGTAGGTAGAAAATAGATAGGAGGGAGGGCAAGAATAGTAGGGGAAATATAGAATCTAAAGAACTTGAGACATGTGGTCATAAACTAAAGGGGGGGATCGTGTGGGAGGGGGTGTGCAGGGTGGAGGGGAATGAAGGGGGAATAGAACACCTATATTGGCATAATTAATAAAATATATTTTTTAAAAAACACTAGCTCAAAAAGATATCTGCACTCCCATGTTCACAGAAGCATTATTTTTTTTTGTCCTCACCTCAGGACATTTTTTCATTGCTTTTAGAGAGCAAGGAAGGAGAGAGAGAGAAGTAGAAACATCAATGTGAGAGAGAAACATCTGTTGGTTTCCTCTCGTACGCCCCGACAGGGGACTGAACCCACAACCTATGTATGTGCCCTGACAGGATCGAACCCACAAGCTTTCTATTTATGGGGCATTCCTGCTAACTGAGCCATACCAGCCAGGTCCAGAGCAGCATTATTTACGATAGTCAAGACATGGTAACAACCTAAGTGTCCATCAATGGATGAATTGATAGGGAGGTTGTGATATATAGCAATATACAGAGTACTGTAGAAGTAACACCTGCTTGATTGAGTGTGGTTGGGAGGGCAATAATGTGAGTGTGATAATTTATAGTTTTAATTTGAACATTTCACCTAAAATGTCATATGGAGTGCTTGAGTGTTATGTTGTTTGTTATGTTTCAAAATTACAATTAAAAAGGGGTGTTACTTGTGCTGGGGAAAAAAAAAAAGACTTCCAAATGAGACATTTTTAATTCTTTGCTGATGTTTAAGTACTAGGTACACAATGGTGACCAATACACATTGCTTTGGTGGTCTGTTTATTAATATATTCAAGTGCTTTAAATAGGAGAGTGGGGATAATCAGATAATAAAAATATCTTCCATGTTTTAAGAAATTATTCTATACCAGCTGTATAGAATACTATTTTACATATATTGTTGAATCCTGGCTATTGAATTCCTTTTTATTATTACAACCTGCATTTTGATAAATGAGGAAACAGACTCACAGAGTATAAGTAAGTTAACATCAAAGAACTTGAAGTGGTTGAATCATATTTGAACTCTTGTCTGTTTGTCTGGCAGCAATTCTTTCCCTTCTAACTGTGTAACACATGCTGTCACGTGTAAAAAATAGAAACTTTAAAAAAATCTGGCCCTGGCTTTGTGGCTTAATTGGCTAGAGCATCATTCCATAATCAAAAAACTCACGGGTTCAATTTCCATTCAGGGCATATACCTAAGTTGTGTGTTCTGTCTCTGGTCAAAACATGTGCTAGAGGCAACTGATCAATATTTCTCACATTGATGTTTCTCTCTCTCCTCCTTCCTTCCCCTCTCTCTAAAACCAATAAGCATATCCTTGGGTGAGCATTAAAAAAATGAATCTTGTATTACCTCTTAATAATTTCCCTTTGTTAGGCAAAAAGAGAGGGATAGGAAAGGAGACAGAGAGAACTTTGACAGCTTAAGGAAAAGGTAATTTTTCTCATCCGGCAGCGAGTTTTTCTCTTTTCAAGGCACTGTATTATCCTGTTTTAGTGATTGCCTTGGGTGGTGGCTGCTTATTTAATTTAGTATTATTGTCCATTTATAATTTAGTGTTTGGTTCTATTCTGTGTATTGCTAGGATTTTTAAATAAGAAACAAAGAATACAGCTAAAGAGTG